TCGAGGAGTGACTGGCTCAATCAGAATCATACTAGTTAAGTCCGTAGGCTTTTTTATTTAAACATTCAGAACATCCTTATAAATCGTAGCTTCCGTTTTGGCACGCACTACACAGGAAATACATTCATCTTTTTGGACAACTCTTTTTTGTTATGTGATATGAAATGTCAACTTTCGCATAGAAATGTCAACTTTTTTTTTCGACAACGAAATGTCAGCTTTCTTATAGATTTTGGACCTTGACGAAAAGTTCGTTCGTATATCAGTTAATTTTACTTGCTAAACCTAATTTCCTCTAGAATGACTGGAGCTGCAAATCCGGGCTCCATGTAAAGGGACCAAAAGCTACTAGTGTGGCTACGGATTTTTGTATAGGAACTGATTAAATTAATAACTCCCTTGGAAATTAGAACCGTAATTGTCTCGGTTAACTTTTCGTAAGGCAACCAACTAAAGCTCCTCGAAACACTATAAAAAAAAACCCTCACCTCCAAAACAAAATAACCCACACTCCTTGTTTCTCCAACTAAGATCATCTAAATCTTTTTTTTTTGTGTGCAACCATTACAATATGGCTTCAAAGAACATGACGACAATCATGATGGCTCTCTACCTCACCTTCAACCTCATCTTCTTGGGCTTCGTCTCGGCCCAAAATCCAGTGGCCGAACCTTTGGTGTGTCCTCTTACGGCGACCGAACTCAGTTCTTGGTCAGATTACTTGACGAAAACACTGCTACTCTCACCGGCCCAAATGTGGCCACCTGTTGCAATGTCTTAGCTGGGGTTGGTGTTCCTAATGCGCCTGAATGTGCCTGTGAGGCCGCTAGAAACTCCATTCTCGGCGGAATCGGACTAGGTCCCACGTTCAACACTGATAGAGCGACTACGCTTCTCAGCAGCTGCACTGTATCACAGCTACCAGTCGGTGGTGTCACCTGCAGCTTATAAGTATACAACATGCATGCAGAATCTTATATATATCAAGATCACTAAAATAAGCAAACACGTTCCGTTATTTCGGTTCATGTTGCAACTTGTTTTTCTAAAAAAAAAAAAAAAAAAAAAATTATGTGTTTGAAATAAAGTGAAACTTTGGATGGCGTTTTACCTGTTCACTGGCCATCCCTTTATAAATCCCTTTATGATATATTGCATCCTTTGAGAAATAAACTACTTTATAAAAGCGTTGGTCAAAAATAAAGAGTAGTTTTTTTAGGAAACTGGGAAAATCAGAACAACAGAGAAAGAGCAAAGATGTATAGAAGCGATCCCTCGTCGGTTACGCCATCGGTTGAGCAGCTCTCCACTGCAACGCCTGGTAGTGTACGGAACATATGTGGTCTCTAATCATTTTATCTATGGTAAAAACAAGTTGGTTTGACGAGTTATGGATGTTTTTAGTAAATGAGTAGAGACAGGTGAAAAACCAATTGATACCTTGTCTCCTCTAGTTTACAACAAAGAAGACATATGCTTGAATAACTCCCCAATCCAACTAATGCTTCTAACCACTATAAATATAAACCCTAGCCTCCCTTTAGTTACTCACACTCCTCTTTAATAACAATCAAGCAAAAGCTTAGTTATCATTTTCACAAAATATTGCCGTTTCATGCATTTTTGGTTTTAAGGAAACTCAAAATAAATAAATAAAAACAGCCGGTATAGCCGTTTATGCCTATCAGAACTAGGCGCTAACCTTTGGTAAGAGCTAATGCCTAATGGGTCTCTAAGTCGTTACCAAGTAGGCTATGTGCATGACTGTTCTAAATCTAACAGACCCGCCTGTTGTGGCCCAAAAGTTGAATACAAAACAGAAAAAATATTAAGACCCTAGATAGTGATAAATTTTGGTGCATTAGTGTGATATGAGATGTCAACTTTCTAATAGACTTTAGGCTTTGACGTAAAGTTCGTTCGTATCATTAATGATCTGCAAGTCGCGCTCCATTTCGAGGACCAAAAGCTACAAGTGTGGGTACGTATTTCATTACGTAAAATGTATAGGAGCTGATCAAATTTGCACAATAGCCTAATTTATTCGTGTTTCCGCAGTAGTTTTTTCTTCTGACAACAATATTTAGTTGAATCGTATTTTTTATCCATCAATTCCGTGATTTTATAAACCTAATGAACAAAATTTTAACGTTATAAAGCCATTGTTCCAAAAAACAATTAACCTTATAACCACATTTCACATATATTAACTTAAATCAAGTTTTTCACATTTATTATATATTAAATACTCTTTTTCAACTCATCAATCCAACGTTAGAGTAATACAACATGTGTTTTCCATGTACTTTCCTTATTGGCCATCTTAAAAGTCGCACATTCACCAGCTTTTGACTCGCGTAGATTACGTGACCTCCACTATAACTCATACCATAAACTTTCCATCCACTTCCACCGAATACGACACTCTGTCCATATCCACGGGACCACGGCCAAGATTTCGGTATCGTATTTCCAAACGAGGGCTTATTGGGCCAACTTCCCAAGTAGATGTTTTCAGTCGAAAAACTCCACTTGGATCGTGTCTTTGAGGCAACCTCCCATAACGTATAATTTTCCATCCACTCGTGGTAACATGCGAGCCACCTTCGTGCTAGGACCCGTACACAATTTGCCGTTGCATAAATTTGATTTTTCGGGAAACTCTAAATAAAATAAAAACAACCGGTATATCCGTTTATGCCTCTCAGAACTAGACTTAAAGATGTTATTTCTAGAGCTTAATTAATGAGGTGGACTACCATAGGCTTTTAAACTTTCACAGCATTATTATAAATCGGAGCATCCGTTTGGGCACGCACTACACAGAAAATGGTGACCAGTTACATAGTATTAATTTCCTGGACCACATGCACTGAGTTTATGCAACGGCATCAGTACAACTAGGTTTGAAGCCCCGCGCAAGCGCGGGGTTGTTTGCAATAGTTTTTGTTTATTTTATTATATTTTATCGCGCGTCCTTTTATTTTATTTTATTAGGATGTTAACACCCACTTTATCTCGAATTTTCTATTTCTAACATTTTAGCATGTTATAAATATTATGTTTGTTTACTTTTGTTAGACTATAAACATGCATATGTATTTGACTCAACGTTAAAATTTGTAAGTATAATGTAAAATCGCATTTGCACCGAAATAGGATGAAAAAAATAATATATATACTTTTATACATATCTACTTTGTTGTGGTAGCATATGAGCCTCATGACCATTGATTATTTTCTATTATGTTAGTTTTGTAATTGAATATATTTGGAAACAAACATATCACAATCCTTAAAATTTTCATGTTTTTCACTGCAATTAAATTTACATATAAAAACTCGACTTCTATTTGTTTAAAAAAGCAAACTCTAACTCTAATTTCTCATTGGTTTTTTATTATCTTAATTAATTTATATTCAACTTTTTAACTTGTAAACATTATAACATTTTGAAGTAGGATAAATCTTTTAATAAAAAGGTAAATATATACCATTTCAAGTTAAATATATTTTTACTTATATCCAAACTTTTTGATAACTTTTAACATCAAGTTATCACATACTTTATATTAATTAAGTAATTTAGTTGTGTATTTTTCTTAGTTTTATTTATATTTAAAATATAAATATAGGTAAAGAAATATGAATAGTCATGTATTAAATATCTTAAAAACAATTTAATGAATTTTTTTGCTGATGTGGATAGCCTAGATGGAGAGAGCAACTCTCCTATTATATATAAAATGCTTACTTTTTATTTTTGGAACCCCATGCTAATTCACGAATAGTATTGTCTATGGAGTCGCATTCTTCTGTCCATCATTCATTAAACGACTATGGTGACTAACGAGTAATTATTAGCCTACATTTTAGAAATATGTCCATGTCCTTTTTAATGGGTGGTATTCTTTACCTAATTAACTAGATATATGTACATTTTGGATGATAATATATTAATCTTTTTCGAGAATTTTTATAAACGCTTCAAAACAACATGTATTTACTGTAAAAAAAAGAGTCCATATCTTCGAGATATAAACCACTAAAACAATAAATTAATTAAGATACAAAAACCATGTGTTGTGGTTATTATGGGCAATATCCGATTATATCACTTTCTCAAATTGTTTTGTGTCTCTTAACATATGATCTGGGGGACAAAAAGACAAAAGTAACTTCACTTTATTTCATTATTATTCTTCGATACATATATAGTAGATTTTTATGACAACATCAATAGTCCTTAATTACGTCTTGTTTAACAACAAAACACACATCATATAAAAACATTAATACGCAAATACCATACTGGAAGTGCAAGCAATCACTGGATATGGTTCTTAATTAGGGGAATTAAGGGGTAATCGCTGTTGAAGGGGGTGGACACTGAAAACCGATAGGAAAGATCATATTACAAGCGAAAAATATTTCTCTAACGGCCTCGTCGAGACTGAAAACCAAAGGAAGTGGCCTGAAGAGATAGCAGAGGCAATCGGCTACTTGGATGTTCGGAAGGCCATTGATGGCACTGCAACACGGTCGCGCTCTGGTGTCGCCAGCTGTAACATTGGCTAGGCGAAGGACGTTGGTACATACGCCTAATTGTGTTGGGTTTCTAGGGCACGTTCCAAAGTCGTTGGTCGTAGCCGGTGAAGGCGAGAGGAAGAGGTCAGCTCTGGCGAGGCTGGCGATGAGGAAGATGATGATGAGGGCAATGGTGGTGGTGGAGCTCTTTGAGACCATTTTTTATTTTGTTGATATTTAAGTGTGGAAAGATGTTTGTGACTTGTGAGGTTGTGTGGCTATTTATAGAGCCATGAGAAAGCCTTAAATAGAAAACTTTTACGCATTTATTATTTAACTCGAATTGCCTAACAATACTCATCTATCCCATTGTATAATCAAATGAGGTCTTGAAGATTTTGGTAAATATTAGGCACTCTCTCTTATGTAACTTTAGCATCTCTGAGTCTTCCAGTGAGTTTTTCTATTATCAGTTGTTGTTTAGTTCTGACTCAACAGTCTAACCCAAATTATAATATCAATTTCAGAAACTGGTAATCATTTAGCAGCTACAGGTAATAGTTACAAATACGAAAATCATATAGTAATTATTATAATTTCTTAACATAATTTCTTGCAACAGTAATATCAGTTACAAAAATCAATGACAATATTGGAATCAATTACTTATGTCCGACATAAAATAATTTCATGTCTCTACAATATCCAAACTCATTTGCTTAGAAAACTAGATGTAAAAAACGAAAAGTTTTCGTGACACTCATTGTCTTCTATGAGATGCAGTGTAATTACGGTGTGAATATAAGGTCACGGATGCAAGCATTTTTTTCTTTTCCTATAACTTGTGTTATTAATATCAACCAATCTAAAAAAATTTAGAAGTTCTGTAGTTTGAATTTGTCTCTATTTTTTTTTCAGAAAGAATAACCTAGCTAGGACATGACGAGTTAACGGCCAAATCAAGAGGATTAAATCTGGGTTATTGTTTTTTATTACTGATCGCCCTTTCTTTCTCAGAAGTGTTGTGAAGATTCATTGTAGCGGAGATCAAGAGAAAAGAACATTAGATATGCAATCATTTTTTTTTGAGATTTGAGTTTATGTATGCATAAAGTTGTTTATAAACATAAAGTTGTTTGACGACAAAAAAAAAAAAAAAAAAAAAAAAAAAAACATAAAGTTGTTTATAAAACTTTCACTAGTAGGGATACATCTATAATACCCAATAGTTTTGTGTGGTTAGAAAAAAACAAAAAAAAAAGCAATGGAAAAACCCATACAAACTTTATTGATGCTTTATTGCTTTATTAGTAGATATAAAAGAAAAAGACATAACACTCTACTATATTTTTAATAAGAGTGTAATCAGTAGAATTTTAGTTTCTTATGGGAAAGGAAGTGGTCATGGGCATGTAAAACCATTGGGAATGTTGCGACCACAAGTCCTGAAGAGGGAAACGATATTAGGAGAGAGACTGCCAGGTGGTGCTCTCACTGATTCACACAGGCAAGTAAGTGCATCAATATCAGACAAGTTACGGATGATGGAACAACATGGTTGCACCCTTCCACCTCCAATGATGCTATCGATAATACTTATAATACTTCCACATATTTGTAGTTGAGGGCCAATCCTACTAGGACATATGCCACGTTGGGGAGGTGGTGGTGGAGGTGGTGGAGGAGGTGGTGGTGGAATCTTTGGCGGTGGAACCGGTGGAGTCCGTGAAGGAAGTCCTGGGAGAGAAATTGGTGGTACAAAGGGAGGAGAAGTTGGTGGAATCTTTGGCGGAGGCGACGGTGGAATAATTGGCGGAGACACTGGTGGTGGCTGTGGAGGAGCTGTTTGTGGACTTCTAGGTGGAGATACGGGCGATACACGTGGAGGAGATGTTGGTGGAATATTTGGGGTGGGTGATATTCCTGGAGAAAATGTTGGCGGATTTTTTGGCGGCGACAATGGTGGTACTCGTGGTGGAGAAGTTGGTGAAATTTTTGGTGGAGACACTGGTGGGTTCCGTGGCGGAGACACTGGTGGTGGTCGAGGAGGAGAGGTTGGAGGAATTCTTGGTGGAGACACTGGTGGTGGCCATGCAGGAGCTGTTTGTGGACTTCTAGGCGGAGATATTGGTGATACATGTGGAGGAGATGTTGGTGGAATATTTGAGGTGGGTGATATTCGTGGAGAAATTGTTGGCAGAGACAATGGTGGTGCTCGTGGTGGAGAAGTTGGTGAAATTTTTGGTGGAGACATGGGTGGATTCTGTGGCGGAGACAGTGGTGGTGTACGAGGTGGAGAAGTTGGTGTAATTCTTGGTGGATACACTGGTGGTGGTCGTGGAGGAGTTGTCTCTGGATTTCTAGGCGGAGGCACTGGTGATACACGTGGAGGAGAAGTTGGTGGAACACTTGGTGTCGGTGGTATTTGTGGAGAAATTGTTGGTGGATTCTTTGGTGGAGACAATGGTGGTGTTCGTGATGGAGAAGTTGGTGAAATTCTTGGTGGTGACACGGGTGGGTTTCGTGGCGGAGACATTGGTGGTGCACGAGGAGGAGAAGTTGGTGGTATTCTTGGCGGAGACACTAGTGGTGGCCGTGGAGGAGCTGTTTGTGGACTTCTAGGCGGAGATACTGGTGATACACGTGGAGGAGATGTTGGTGGAATATTTGGGGTGGGTGATATTCGTGGAGAAATTGTTGGCGGGTTTTTTGGCGGAGACAATGGTGGTACTCGTGGTGGAGAAGTTGGTGAAATTTTTGGTGGAGACACGGGTGGGTTTCTTGGCGGAGACATTGGTGGTGCACGAGGAGAAGAAGTTGGTGGTATTTTTGGCGGAGACACTGGTGGTGGCCGTGGAGGAGCTGTTTGTGGACTTCTAGGCGGAGATACTGGTGATACATGTGGAGGAGATGTTGGTGGAATATTTGGGGTGGGTGATATTCGTGGAGAAATTGTTGGCGGGTTTTTTGGCGGAGACAATGGTGGTACTCGTGGTGGAGAAGTTGGTGAAATTTTTGGTGGAGACACGGGTGGGTTCTGTGGCGGAGACACTGGTGGTGCCCGAGGAGGAGAAGTTGGTGGAATTCTTGGTGGAGACACTGGTGGTGGTCGTGGAGGAGCTATTTGTGGACTTCTAGACGGCGATACACGTGGAGGAGAAAATGGTGAGATATTTGGGGTGGGTGATATTCGTGGAGAAACTATTGGCGGATTTTTTGGTGGAGACACGGGTGGGTTTCGTGGCGCAGATATTGGTGGTGCACGAGAAGGAGAAGTTGATGGTATTCTTGGCGGAGACACTGGTGGTGGCCGTGGAGGAGCTGTTTGTGGACTTTTAGGCGGAGATACAGGCGATACACGTGGAGAAGTTGGTGGAATACTTGGTGGATTAATTGGTGGTATACGTGGAAGCATAGTTGGTGGATTTCTTGGTAGCGACATTGGTGGTGCGCGCGGAGGAGCAGTTGGTGGATTTTTTGGTGGAAGTATTAATGGTGGAGTAGCTGGTGGAGTTTTTGGGGTCGATGGTGGAGGAGGTGGAGGACGGGTTGGTCTATTGGCTTCGATTCGGCCGAGGAGGAGGAATGTGAGTACAAGGAAAAGAGCTACGGTTGTTCTTGAACATTTTGAATCCATTTTCTTCAAAGTGATGTCCTTAAAAAAGGACTGTTGTACGGATATTGGTGACTAGAAATGAAGTGAGCTTGTTGGTATTTATAACAGCTTGACGATATATGTTCACTATTTTGGTTATGTGCCACCTCTTCCATTGCCAAACCTCTTTATGTTAGGGTTGGAGTTAGGCTTCACTCTACGTTACCTTGACACTCGATTCTTTACATTAATGGCCTTTGAATTCTTTCTTCTTTCGTTGATTTCGTTTACATGACATATCACTTTCCATATATTTAACACGTTCGTTAGACGATTTCAAGTCCGAGTTAATAAACCAAAGTGTCAAAAAGGATATTTTGCATCAATGCAGACATATGTAAGAAATATGACAAAGTGGTTCCTTTTTTTTTAAAGGACAAAGTGGTTCCTTGGTTAATACTATAGTTGATTGGTTTTGTACGTACTGTCTAAAAAATATTGAAGCCATTTGACGAAACAGACAGGTATTAAAGTACTCAGACGAAACCAAAACTTAATTTAAGCAGAGACATGTAGCATTAGCACTTAGCAGCAAGAGATGTGAAATAATCTGATAAGTAGCAAAACAGAAATTAAAAATTGTTTTTCTAGCCAATGTACTTTGACGTCGCATTTTTGATGTGGAGTTCCTAACATATTACAATGACCTCGAACTCCAGAAAAAAAAAATTGACAAGCCAATCAGAGTTAAACAAAATAAAACTGAAATATTCCTCCATATATACTATGGTTATTAGGTTATAGTCCAAATAATTTTACCTGCGTCCTTCCATTTGAACATACAATATTACATCCGCTCTCTTGCTAAAACCAGAGAACTTTGGATATGAGAGAAAATGTGTAAATCACTAAAAATTAATTGAAACCAGCGCAGGATCTATGTGACCGATTACGTAAGTTTGCAGTTGTGAATTTGACTTTTTATCGGGCGGGCGTTTTTATTAATTTCATCGCCAAACCTTTTATTTGTAGACCCAGGACACTTTTTAACTTTCCGTGGAAGGCAAGTCTCTATAGTTTAGACTTTAGATATCTTGAGAGTTTCTATTTTTAGGAAGATGCAACTCATGCTACATGTAGTAGTAGGACCAAAACTTACTTTTGTTCATTAAAACATGTATAATTATTTCAGTTGACTTTTAATTAAACGTTAGAGAATTCTCAAAACACATCCTATAGTAAGCAACCAAACCTACAAAAAAACTATAAATACAATACAAACCTAACTACTCAACAATTCTTTCCAAAGTAATTAGTTACGATCGATTACCATAGGTAGCTGATAGCTCTCTTCCTCACCATCAGCCTCGTCTACTTAGGCTTCAGAATTACGTGGACTCAAACCGTTGACGTGTTCACAGTTACATTCGTTAATCATTAACAAAGAGCAAAATATCAAAAAGTAATTATGACCCAAAAAAGTAAGTTGATACAAAATCTCGGTATGATTGGCCTAGAAACTCGAAAACAAGAAAGATGAAAGAACATATCCATTTGTGTTTCCAATCCATAAACATATGAATAATGAATTTTGTTCTTACAAACTAAACGGATACATACAGTACTTTCGTTTTATTACATACTTTACAATTGTCGTTTTATACTTTTACAATGGTTTAATTATGACAATTTAAGCACTTAAAGCTAGTTTTTAACGGTTCCAGCGAGCATAAACGTCTTGTAGACGATGGTTCGTACCAGCTCGGATCCGCCCCAAGCCGTCTCGAGCTCTTTCACTGCATTCTCCGACAATAAGTCGACTCCTTTCTCCTTGGCAGCGCCAACGGCAGACCAAGATCTCAGCATCCGTAAGAATCCTTCAAACGACACCGTTCTCTTCATCTCCAGCTCCATGGGCTTTCCCTCTGAGCCCAGGCCCACACTCTCGAACGGAAACGGCAACGTTTTGTATCCGCTCAAAAAATGCTGACACTCTGGAAATTTGTAATACGGCATCGTTTCCTCGTTGAACCGAGTCATCACCGAGTCGAACTCGGGACTCACCACCATGTCTGTGTTGTAGCTCCACACGGCGATGATCCCTCCCGGTTTACGGAGGAGACGATTCGCGATCGCGTAGAATCTCGGTAGGTCGAACCAGTGTACGGCGGTGGCCACCGTTATCAGATCAACGGAGTTCTCTTCTCCTCCTCCGATCAGATTCACCATCTCGTCGTCGGTCATCGACGGCGGCGTGTGGTGGTAAGTTACTTTCGGATGCGGCTTCCCCAGATTTAACATCGTCTCGCTCACGTCCGTGGCGACGACTCTCTCGTAGTGCTCGGCGATCTAGCCAAAATGTTGCAAAATCAGAGATCCGCATCGTGAAATCAGTTTCGGAAAATTTTGAAAGAGAGAAAGATAAGGAGGAGATACAGACGCCGATTGCGGCTTGGCCGTTTCCGGTGCCGGCGTCCCAGGCGAGATGGTGATGATGAGAGAGAGCGGCGAGCTTGGAGTACCAATCGGCGGGATAAGTAGGACGTGCGTCTAAGTAGATATCAGCTTCGTAAACTCCTGACATTTTTGCTATTGAGATTTCTTCGTCTTCTTCTTGTCGATTCAAGTTCTTGATCAACTTGGTTTTGAATTTCTGCTGATCCTAATAGAGTGAGACGATGACGTGGCAGGTTGCGAAATCCGATTTTGCTATTTCAGAGTTTTCAGAGTTTTGACTTTCACAGTTGGTCGGAACTTTTGGTCGGCTAATTGGTTTCGGTTTGGTTCGGTTTAGATCTTTTTATTTTTTGGTTTAGGATCGAGTCGCTCATATGGAGCTTTTTATGACACATTAATACATGCATAATCCAGAATTTCTAAGTCTCGTCAACGTTCTGGAGAAGTTAGTTATATGATTTAGCATGATTTGTCGCTGATGTGTGATTTGTGAAGGAGATTGCCACTTGTGTTATTATTGTTATACCAATACTATACACAGTAGTCCAGTGAAGAGGATTAGAAGAATACTTATGTGTATGAGAAGAATCATTTTAGGTCCTTGCTAATGATTGCGACTTCTCCTCTTGTGGCAGATGGTATGGTGATGCCTTCTTGGTTTGACACCCGTAAGCTTCCTCTTACCGCAGTAACACTTCTTTTTAGTTGGAGAATTATTACTATTCGATGGCATTGTCGATGATGCATACACCAATCTTGTGGTCTCATGGCATTGATGACAAAACTGTACTATTCGAAGCTGGTCAAGCAGCTCTTCCTTTTCTTCAACAAACTGGTGTGACTTGTAGTTCAAGGTATTATAATAATAATAAATAAATATAAACACAGGAGTCGAATCCAAGTAATGATCACATGGAAAGATCTCTAAAAACAATTCTTGAAAATGCAAATCTAAAGAGATTCGTTATATTTGAAAGACTTATCCTGATCTTCGACACTCAATCAGTAATAAGGAGTTGCAGTATCTGGATTCTGGAGTCATGGATCAAACAACGGATGCAGAGTTCTTCATCTTCTTCTTAAATGCTTTCAAAAACCAACATTGCACTAGTTATGTATATGAAGAACAATAAAGCTTCAGTTCATCGTCTAGTTTTCTTGTGAACAACGGTTTCAGTTTAAACTGTATAGTTTGGTTATAGACTTTTAAAATACTAGAGAGAGTATACAAAAACAGAACAATGCGTTCAATGTTCATGATGGAAACTTAGAGCAAAGACAAGATATATATATATATATATATATATATATATATAATAAAGTTGATGAAACCCAAGTAACCTTCAGAGAGAACGATATGAGAAGAGCTGAAATCCAAAACATAAAGTCTCGAGTAAATAAATATATGAAAGCCCTGTGCTTAATTACATAAACTTCAGATTCTCCACATAGTCTACAAAGGTGTTAATAGTTATATGATACTTAAACTCTTCAAATCCCTGAAAATCGAGTGTTGTAAAGGATTTCCTCTCGAGATTATAGAAGTAAACGCGGAAAAGGTTTTGTAGGTTGTAGCGGTACGACGATAACACGACTTCGCCTGAACCAGTCATTCCAACAAACCACTTCTCTATAGTTGAAATAGGCAATACATAGGTATGCTTGGACCATTTATGACTTCCGGCATCTTCTAGCACCCACAACACAAAATGATATGTATCCCTAAATCCTGATGTATTCCGCATACCTAATTTACCTTTGTAGTTGAACAAAGCCAAAAAACCACTACGACAATAAGTATCATGCTCACTTAACATGTCTTTATCTATGTTAATAAAGCCAAACTTCTCATACCTAACGTCGAAGCAAACTATCACCCAACGTTGTTCCAACTTAGCTCCGAAATACAAAATACCATCTATGCATACTTCACCACCCGTTCTACCACTCTCTGTAAAACGAAATCCGCATTCGATCTCTCTCCATAAATGTTTTCCAGACTCCAACGTCAAAACCTGATGAATTTTGGGTGTTTCATAAAGTGACGGGTTCAGACACAACACTTTGAACTGTTTTCTGGTCGGATCATAGCCAAGGTAACTACTCTTCGCTTTAGCTTTCACTTCGGGTAAGGTTATGAAGTCTCCTGTGATAGGGTTACAAATCACTGGGCTCTTTTTTTCATAATCTCCCTGAAGAAGGGTCAATCCACATACGGTAGAACAGTTATCAAATGGAAAATACTCGGGGAATGACGTATGATAACGTGTGGCTACAAGAGTAGAGTTGTGATCTGGATTTTGAGGCTGAGGTGAAGAGTAGAAGAACAACTTGTGATTAGATACTACGGTGAAAAAGATCCGTGGACGAGTATAAGAATTGGTCAGAAACAACTCTGTGAAATCAGGAGGACGTAGTATGTATCCCCATAATTTCGATACGCAACGAAACCTCATTGTCGTTTTTCGAGAGAGTCGAGAGAATATATCAATGAGTATATCAACTGGGATCGGGTCTGAGTATTCTCTTACCGGCTTGGGAGACTGTGTTTCATTTCTGGAGGTGATTGATAGATTCTCTGGTAAAGGCTGCTCCGATTTTTGCTCCAATTTTTCCATTGCCGATGGTAGAAACCCTAGAATACCTTAAACACGAATGAAAACTAATTAGACTTCAGCTTTGTTTCTCTTCTGAATTTCGACCGACTTAATATACTGTAGATGCAAGAATTCTATGGGCTATATTTAGGCCCAAGATGCACTAACCTTACTTCTCACTAACTTGTTGAATATTAGATGGAGATGTTTAGCGTTTCCGTCTTCTATCACGCAAAAACATGAAATATATAATATACGGCTAATGTATATATGTCTTTCTTGGCAAGAAAAACTTATCACAGCAGATTGAAGGAGAGACTATTTTGCCTGGATTTATTTTATTCCTCACATATTTTGTTGACATTACAATGAACTTGTCCAAATGTATTCACCAACCTAACATTAATCTCAACTATTTAGCGAGAAAGATAAGAAGCTGCGACTTTACAACAAGACTCGAAACAAAAGGAGATAATGTTTACACATCCTTTACAAAAGTATAACCAAAAGCTTTTTCTCAATCTCCTGCATGTCGACGAACACCTGAAAAAAAAAGAGGTTTTGGTGATTTGGTCTATGTCTGAGATACGCTTCTAAAAATTGGTAGTTTTCTAGTATGGTTTCTAGTTTTGTCCAAGCATCACTTGCATAGTAGATTCAAGGGTTCAAGAAGAGACTTTTTCTGGCATTGTTAGGATTGTTTACAAGATATTTTTTTTTGTCTCATCAAGTATGTTAGCTTTTATGTGTTAGGGATCCCCTAATGATGAAAGCAGCGTGCTTAAAGCAGTTAAGAACATTCATGCCATTATAGATAAGGATATTTCAGCAGGAATAAGTCCATAGAATGTGTATATCTATGGATTTAGCCAAGGAGGTGATAATGATCTCTCTTTGCCTACGTTATAATAGTTACACACCTTTTCCGTGGATTGTTGATTTTCTTGCATTACGACGCCTGAGTAAGATTATCTTGCAGGTACATTAACATTGGCTAGTGTTCTTCTTTACAACGGATGCAGAGTTCTTTATCTTATTCTTTAAATGCTTTTAGAAACCAACATTGCACCCTAGTTATCTATTTGAAGAACAATAATAACTTTAGTTTATCGTCTGGTTGTGTCTTGTGAACACCGGTTTCCAGTTTACACTAGGTTATAGACTAGTGAAATACATATCTTCTGTGATTTGTATTGATTTGAAAAATAATATGCTAAAAAGGACATATCTGTTAATTTTCGTTTTTTTTTTTTGTTACAGAATTCAAAGCTGAGTATTTGAGGGAGAGTGAGAGAGAGAGAGAGAGAGAGAGAGAGAGAGAGAGAGAGAGAGAGAGAGAGAGAGAGAGAGAATTAATGAGTGACAAAGTAGACAAAAAAAAAGTAAAAAACAGAACAAGGCGTTCAATGTTCATGTGATGGAAACTTAAAGCAAAAAGTAGATAAATTATATATAACGTTGATGAAATCCAAATAACCTAAAGAAGGAACAATATGAAAAGTGTTGAAATCCAAAATAATATATGAAAGCATGTGCATCATCACAGAAACTTCAGATTCTCCACATAGTCTACAAAGGTGTTTATAGGTATATGATACTTAAACTCTTCAAACCCCTGAAAATCGAGTGTTGTAAAGGATTTCGTCTCGAGATTGTAGAAGTAAACGCGGTAAATGTTTAAGCTGTAGCGGTACGATAGCAGGATTTCACATGTAGCAGTCATTCCAACGAACCGTTTCTCTTTGACTGAAGTAGGCAACCCGTAGACTATATTAGACCATTTATGACTTGCAGCATCTTCTAGAACCCACAACACAACTCTATCAAAATCTGCTCTTTTGTGACATATACCTAATTTACCTTTGTAGTTGAACAAAGCCAAATAACCATCATCAAAACATTTATACTCTTCAAACATGTCTTCATCAATGTCAACAAAGTCGAATTTCTCAGACCTGACGTCGAAGCAAACTATCACTGAATATCGTCTCAACACAGCTCCAAAATACAAAACACCATCTATGCATACTTCACCACGCATTCGACCACTCTCATTCAAATGGAATTCGTATTCGGTCTTTCTTCATAAATGTTTCCCAGACTCCAATGTCAAAACATGAATAAGAGTGTTGTATCTTCCATAAAGTGACGGTTTCAGACACAACACTTTGAATTGTTTGCTGGTCGGATCATAGCCAAGGTGGTAACTCTTCGCTTTACCTTTCACCTCGGGCAAGGTTATGAAGTCTCTCGTGATAGGGTTACAAATCACTGGCCTATTTCTTTCATTAGCTCCCTGAAGAAGGGCCAATCCACAGACTGTAGAACAGTTAGAAATTGGAAAAAGTTTGGGGAATGGCGTATGATAACGTGTGGCTACAAGAGTAGAGCTCTCATTAAGATTTTGAGGCTGAGGTGAAGAGTAGAAGAACAACTTGTCATCAGATATTAGGGTGAAAAGGATCCGTGGACGAGTGAAAGACTTAGTCAGAAACAGCTCTGTGAAATCAGGACGACGTAGTATGTATCCCCACAATTTCGATACACAACGAAACCTTGCTATAGAATCTACCGAGACTCGAGAGAATATATCGATGAGTATATCAACTGGGATTGGTCTGAGTATTCTCTTACCGGCTTGGGAGATTGTGTTACATCTATAGAGGTAATTAATAGATTCTCCGAGAACTGCTGCTCCAAATTTTCCATGGTGGATTGTACAAACCCTAGAATAACTTCACACGAATGAAAACTTATTAGACTTCAGCTTTGTAATTTTTCTGGATTTCGACTGACTTCATATGCAAGAATTCTAAATGGGCTATATAAGGCCCAAGATGCACTAAACTTACTTCTCATTAACTTGTTGAGTGTCTTTCTTCAATCAAAAAAGAACCTGAACTGTATAATATACGACTAATGTATATGTTTATTTCTTGGTAAGAGTAACTAACTTATCACAGATTGAAGGAAAGAGTCTTTTGCCTGGATATATTTTATTCCTCATATATTCTTCGATATTACAATGAACTTGTCCAAATGTATTGACCAAACCTAACATTAATCTCAACTATTTAACGAGAGAGAGATAAGAAGCTGCGACTTTACAACAAGACTCATATCAAAACAAAAGGAGATATGTTTACACATCCTTGCAAAAGTATAACCAAAAGCCTTTTCTCAATCTCCTCCATGTCGAGGAACACCTGGAAGAAAAAGGAAGGTTTTGGTCTATGTCTGAGACACGTTTCTTCTGTGTAAAACAACTCCAATTTGGTCCGTACTTTGGCTGTGTATATAGTCAAAGATAAAAATATTCTATTAAGCACATTCAATACAAGAAACGAAATAATCAATCAAACTCATCGTTCTTGTTTTGAGATTATAATAGTATTAGTACATTACCTGGAAATGAAACCAACAAGTGTTTAAGCAGAATCTGCTAGATCTTCAGTGAATTCCCCGAAGATGTCAGGGCAATCATCCCAGTTTCTGTGTCCTCTTGCTTCCCAGTAACCACCAGTGTACTTGAACGTTTCGCTTTCTCCTTGTCTCTCAAACCATCTCGGTCTCCATCCACTTTCTTGAAGTTGCCGTGACTGCAAAGAAACAGAGCAATTACAGTTCTTGAAACATAACTTCAGTCAAAAACAATGAAATTTTTCACTATTAACATTAGTGAAATGTCAAGGTGACGTACCATTCGTTGCCTTTTCTCTAACCGTTGTTTCTCTAAGTTCGCCTTCTCATATTCACCATTCTCCAGATGCCGTTGATCTGGTCTCAGCCTAGAGTCTGTGGGAGGAAGCATCTCCTAAATCCATGATCAAATTTAACAACAAAATCAAACAGAGAATCCATAAACATAACAAAAACCAAGATTAGTTGCATTGAAACACACCTGCAAACCAGGTGTTAGCTCATTCAGGGTAATGGCGAACGAGGTTAAGTTGTATCGAGTGACATTAGGCGGTGGCTTGGTTCTTTTCCAAAGCAACGAGGCATTCGATGCAGGATCGCTGACTTTCGTCTTGCTGACTCCATCGCCAACAACATAGTGAAGGCTATCATCCCATTTACCAAACACTGTTGCAGCTTTCTGTCCAGCCACGTCCTCTACAAAACCATTTACCTATATATTTTGATCATATGTTATTTCAAGGTTTTTTTTATCATGTGTTGTTCACATAAACAGAGCATATCGCTGTGTGACTCTACCTGGTGTGGATTTCTCTCAAGAATGGATTGTTCCTTAAACTTGAGCGTGCAAGAATATTGACGGTTCCCACGGATTTGCATTACACCATGATGGTCACAGTAGAGTTTACCTAGTATGATATTGTATATAGTTGATGTTACCTAAGAACAAAGATAAGTAAATAAAGTTAATACGGTCCAAAAGTGAATCATATAGTTCCATTTATAAGTTCATTTATATATACCTTGCTCCATTGAAAGACTTCTCCATCATCAAACTCTAGAGTCAAAACTCCAACAGGTTCGACTTGGATCGATCTCCCCCAAAACTTTGATCTGAGGTTAGTGTCACCCCAGAACTTCCAACCTTTACCTTCACAATGGCAGGCGATAACAGTTGGATGGTGGCTGACCTATTACAAAACCGCAATACCAAAAGAATGATATATTATTCCATAGTCTTAGGAAAGTTTCTGACATTTATGTTCATCACATTTTAACTTTGAGTTACCTTCTCAGAGAAGAAACGAATACCCTTTTCAGGGAAGTCAGCTTCATAGGTTTCTCCAAGCAAAGGGTTGAAGGGCTTACAGTGCCGGCCTTCAGTGGAAGCATATCCAGAGACCGCGAAAGCCGCAACATTCAAGGCTCTTAAAAGACCATTCCCCTGAATAATCCAACAGGCTTGAGTAAGTTTTCAAGATTAAAGAGAATGTAATATAGCAATAGAAGAAAGAGACTTTGCTTGTCACTTACAGATTTTCCATGTTCATATGCTCTGTCCAGAAGATATGAATACTCCAAATCTTCAAAGCACTTTTGGAGGGATGATATTGGTTCGTTGAAATACACAGGGAGGCAAACTCTGGTGAGATCTTTTCCAACGTTGTCTTTAATCATAGACCAAAGACTAACACCTTTCTCTTTTTCAGCTGGATCAGGAAGCTTTGTTCTTCTCTTGATTGATAGATTGGATCCAGAACAAGCATTAGGTTCGTTAAAGTACTCTTTCGTGTCATGGAAAGAAGGCTCATCTTCCTCAGACACATCCTCGAATTCTTGTTTATCATCAGATGAAGCAGTTGTGCTGCATTCTAGAAACCAAATAGTATCAAGCAAAAACACAAAGAACCTCAAAGACAGAGGAGGAAGCGAGATTAAGGGTTGAGAGTATGTACCACTATACTTCCCACGTCCAAGGCTTGAAAATTCATGCTTTGTTAATTGGTAGACATTGTCATCGATCCCTGATGCTCCAGCTTCAAGATTAGCTGCCTGTACAAAACATAAACTTCATCGTTTAGTTCTCAAGAAGCTCAACTTCAGTGGGACAATAGAGACTCCTACAACTACAAATCATAAAGGAAAGAAACAAAGTTTACCTCTAGCTGCCTCAATGCGTCAATCAGATTCGTCCGTTCTTCATGTAGAAGTTTGATTTGTCCATGCATTTCAGAAAACTCTGAGAGCATGATCTGTTCACACTCTTTTACTAGATTCTCGCTCATTCCCGCTTCTTGCAGCCGTTTCTTTAGTCTCTCAGTCGATATAGACAAATCCTTTGGTGACTTGAATGAGAAATCCCCATTAAGTGACCGGAGAGGGAAAATGCATTTTGTAGATGCTAAAGCTTGTAACCAAGCTGCTCTGTCACTTATAGAATCAGTCCTCAGATGAAGAGTCTTTGTTGCTGTGAATATATAGAACTTTCTATCATCAGACTTGCTTTCTCTAAAAGACGAAACCTGCTGGAGAAAAAAACCATAGAAGGATACACATCTTATCAACAGGCTCAGGAAAAGCTACAAAAATAAAAAAGTTGAGACAAAAAATTTGTCCTAACAAGAAAAAGAAACCAATTTCTGGATCAAGAAAACTTGTTCCATCTTATATAAAGAAATAAAAGGACCTTAAAGCTCAAAAGAATATGGTGAGCTTGGAAATGAAGTTTGAAGATGCAGATTAGAATTTGGAGCTAAGAACAAATCAAGCTGGGCCCATATGAGGAATTTGCTTTAGAGACTAGATAAGGCACGTTAGATCTATAGGTTGAGAAAGACAAAAGTTAATTATCTGTAAGCAAAACAAAAAAAAATCTACAGCTTGCGTCTAGATCAGCTTTGAAGTATTTGGATTAAGCAAAAAAAAATGTTGAAAGTTCAACAAAAGAATATGCCTGTAAAATTTTCAGAACAAAACCATCGTTTTCTCATTGTCAAGCATGTTAAAAAAAATCAAGTCTTTTTATAATTGGCAAGACCCCACTCTCCATTATTTCCAAACAAACTAATTTCTACACACCAAACGTATCCAAAATATCAAAGAAAAATTCAAATATATATTATTGAATGAATAGTATAATACTATAAGCCTATCTCAATGGAACAAACAATCTTTATACATATAAATAGATATAGTCATATAGATAGTTAGCCTTCTTAGTCAAGGAGAATTCCATAGTAAGAACAAAAAAAGATGGCAATGAAAAGTTAAAGCGGTATAATTAGTAGTGTTGCCAACAAGACAAATCAAAGCAAGCACATGCAAAGAACAAATTGTGAAAAGTGTCCAAAATTCAAAAGACTTGATTTAGCTATGATACTGAAAAAGTCCATAGTTCTAGTGACTAAAAATTGACATATCTATAGTCTTCTTGGCTTTTTCTCCAAAAGAAAAAAGAAAAGAGAATCCAAACTTTATTGACGGATGGCAAAATAGCAAATGGGTTAAATCTTGAAACCAATAGCAAAAAATGTTTAAAAAAAACTGAAAGATGGACAGACCTTACACTAAAGAAAAGTAGAAAACCAATTCGAACAAAAAACAACAATGTGACCACTGAATAAAACCCTAAACCTACAAAAACCAGACTGTATCAACCAAACAAATAAATTTAAATTCTTGAAAAACAAACAAGCACCTGTTGATGTGACCCACTAGAGATTCACAGCAAGTGAAAAGCTGGAAAAAAATATACCAGCTAGAGATTAATTTTATTAATACTGAAGAAGCAAAAATCAAAACAAGAAAAGAAATGAAAAAAGTTGTAAAAAAGGCAAACTATAAATAAACCAGTCAAGAAGAAGGTAGGTGATGCTGATGATGAAATGTCAAATATCACATTTTAGGGTTTATCTTTTCGTCAAGAACACAACGAACAATTCTATAAACCTCTGGTTCTTTCCTCTAACTATGAGTGAATAAAAGTCGTTTCGTTTCCCCATAAAACAAATCTGAATCAGAGTAACAAAGAAAAAATCATGAAAACTGATAATCTCAGGTGAATTTTTATTTTCCCCCTAAAAATCAAAATCTTCAAAACAAAATCAAATTATACCTTGAGATGAACAATGCCGACGGTTTTCTGCTGTTTCCGGCGACCGCTGCAACTATCCATCCTGGTGAGACGATCGGCGGAGATATTTCCGATTAGTCTCACATCGTCCGACGGAGAGAGGAGATTCAAATTCTCCGGTCGCCGGATCTTAGAGTAAGAGAGGATTCCGTTGCGGAGGAGGAACCATCTAGATCTCCATCCTTTACCGAAGTTCGTCCACTTGTATAAGATCCCAGCCACAGTCTCCGACTCCGATCCCAACGAGTTCACCTTCCTCCGGCCGGATCCGAGCGCGAAAGACGTCGCCGGAAGACTCCTCGACCTAGTCAAATTCGTCACCGGCTCCGACGACTTGTTGTCGTTAATCCCGTGTGGACTCTCCAGAGTGATACAGCAGAGAGGATGCAGCTCCTTCACCCGCATTTTTTTAATTGTTCCTCCGATCACTCCGGCCGGTAAAATTTAAATCTCGATCACAAACTCCGACGCACATTCATCTCTGAGTTTTTTTTTTTAATATTGATCAGAAAAATGGACGAAATTAATAAAGGAGAGAGATGCAGATCGAGAAGAGTGATAGAAGGAGCATGCAGATATTGGGGATAAATCGAGTTGAAGAAGAAGAAGACGAAGAATATAAGAACCTGAGCTCTGAAACTGAGATTTCTCAGAAAAGAGAATCAGAGAGAGAGAGAGAGAGAAAGAGAAAGGTTGCTTAAATGTGAGACTGCGTAAGCTTTCAACCCCAATTATAAAGGCTTTATGTAAAAACATTTATATATTTCTGTATCTGGATGATATATGTTATATATGTATATGTATACAATATGAATATGATGCTGAATCAGAAAGAGGTTGGGAGCGAAGTTGGAAATTTAAGACGATGGCTTTAGATTGTAATTTCGATATGTTAAGGAGGATATAAATGGAAGTTTTGCTGGAATCTTTTTCACTTGATCTTGATTTTATCCTTAATTGGATACTTTTTTACAAGAGGGAAATTTTGATTTATTTTTAAACCTACAAAAAAGGTCCACAACATTAACCACGTATGTAGTTTAATTTCAATCGATCGATTTAAAGCTCACTGACAGTTACACTGTGATTATTACACTTCAACAAAATATGGTAAAAGTAGTTTTAGATTAAAGCTCAGTTTGTTTTTCTATTATTGTTTCTACAATTTAGGCTGTAACTGGTTACTCTCTAAAGGGATATGCTGAATAAAATAAATAATTATAAGTGGAATGAAAAAAAATGGGATGATAAAAAAATAGAATAAAAAATTAAAATAGTGAATCCCGTTCATCCCATTCATTCATCAACGTTTTGGAAGTGGAACAAAAGGGATAAATTTAAAGAAGAATTTGTGTCTTTTTTTCCATCCAAAAATGGAATTCGTGGGATAGTTTTTACTTTTCATTCATAATAACTGGTAAATTTTTTATGGGATCTCATGGAATAATGCATTCAGAATAAATTTATCCCAAAAAAGGCATTCCAGTTGCACCCTTAGATAGATGTTTTAAAACAGAGTAACTGTAAAAATAATCATGGCATATGAAAAAATGTAAATGAAGAAATTATAATCATTGAGGACAAACCTGAATATATTTCTTTCTCAGAAAAAAAAAAATCCTGAATATTTCTGGCCATGGTTAAAGCTGTTGTTAGAAATACCCAAATCAGGTTATGATCACTTTATAAAAAAAAATTGTAGTAGCTTCTTGTTTTTCTTATATATTTGTACACTAATAATAATATTAATACACTACATCAAGTTTCCCGATTGTTATAAATTTAATTTATAAGCCCAATCTCACTTTTTAAAGAGGTGTTCATGTTATATTGGGATGATAGGCTGTCACTTTGTGAAGACGTGTTCATGGAAATTGAGGTTTTATGAAGTTTGGGTCCTTTGCGATGATAGGCATTTCAAGTTTTATCCAGTGGCGGACCTAGGATTGTAAATTAGAGGGTCAAAAATCAAGTAAAGTGTCATTGGGGAGATTTGAACCCAGGTTAGGGGGGTCATTATGAAGATTTTTACCATTTAAGCTGTTGCATTTATGTATAATATTCTTACAAATCAATGTTTTATCTAACTTTAGGGGTGTCAAATGAACCAGTATTGTTACATGTGGGTCCGCCTTTGGTTTTATCTATTCATTTCGACGTGTGGATAATTTTTCATTTCTCAAAACCCCTTGCAAGGAGTTTATAAAAATAATATGATGTGGTTTGGAAACTGTAAAGCTAAAAGGTATAGTGGTTTGTTTCTGAAGTAAGTAAATTTATTAAGGTACTATATCTATTCACTTTTTGTCTTACTTAAGTAAGTAAAATTCTTGTAAGAAAATGTAATGTCTAATATATTTCAATAGAATATATTCATGAAAAATTACTATGTAAATAATATAATATTTTAAAACGACTTTCTGATTCTGTATTTTATAGTATTTTCTACTGTTATTTTTAACAAAAAAAATATTTTCTACTGTTATATAATAGAAAAGTTTCCAGTAAAATTGAAAATTAATTAAAAGATTTGTATGAAATAAGCTCTAGAAAGAAATTAGTAGGTCCGTAGGTTAAATATAATGAAAGCAATTCTTTTCAAGGAAGAAAAAAAGGAACACTATAATCATTGATTTTTCTCGTATTTTGTTTGGCGAAAATGACTTATCAGCGAGGAAAAATAAATTACTAAGTTAAATACAAGCCGTAGTACATCAAAGGAAAAGCACACTTTTGTTTTTGGAATAAAATATGCCAAAATATAAAGAGATTGTAACTCGTGGGTATTAATAATTCTAGTTTGCTGCCATTCCAAATTCCGTAAGATAAAACATTTAGTAATAGTAATACCGGTTGAATTGTGGCATTTCCTCAATCACTATATCATATAAACTACCAAATTTATCGTTTTATTACATATGATTCTTGTAGTTACTGTTAATACTATATGTTTTCGTCTTATTTACAAGAAAATGGTATCCATAGATTTCAAAAGGGGTAATAAAAGCTCTGAGTTAATATATAAGAAGACAGTAGTAAATTATAATTTTGATGTCAGATGTAAACTAGCATAATGTTTATTATTCTCATTTATTACAAAAATAGCATCGACCGTGGGATGTTTGAGGCAGTGGACCGGCGTGGCGTGGAGGACCCGGGACTGGCTTGTTGTCCCACTGTCTCACACGCGTCAGAGCTAAAATATTTTACTTTCACTTTCTTTCTTTTTTCCAACCAAATTCGATTCCATCGTAATACTATACTACTATCTAATACAACATCACTAAGAAAATAGAAGAAAATAAGTAGTTCAGTCTTGGTCCTACCAAAGTATGTATCATATCGTAGTAGTTTATGTTAATATATATTTGTATCACTATCTAAATCTGTATAATGTATATTACTGATATATAAAAAATAAAATAAAACATTAGCCTACCTCAAAATAAAATAAAACATCAGCCTACCTCAAAATATTTTTATCTTTATCACCAATCTTATATTTCCCTCATAAAAAATGGAAAGCCCATAAAAATGACACATTAGTAAAAGTTTAAATGAATGTAGATACTAGATACTAGTAGATAACTAAAATATACTGTATTTAAAAAAAACATCCTCGTCACAATCATCATCTACCGGCAAAAAAATATCAGTATTCGCCTATCAAATACAATTTAATCTTTGAAATTATTGTCCGAGATAATTGTCATTGTTGTATTGAAAACGATTGACGAACATAAATCATGCACGCTTGAGTGAATAACCATAACGAGTGGACAAACAACATTTTCACTAAAAAAATTAAAATTTTATCCATGATACCTTGATGAAACTAATATTGTTCACTAATATTATTTGTCTTTTATAACCATAAAGAAGACGATGACATGAATCCACAACAACAAAAAGGTGGTGAAGAAAAACAGCAGAGTCATATCTGTTAGTAACAAGCTTCTAATTAAACCGGATTAGACCTTTAGTGAACCTCCTCAGGTAACGAGCTGAGACACGGTTCTCTCCTTGAACCAGAACCAACACACACAAACACTTATAAAGTTATTATAACTTTGTGAAGTGTGACTAGTTAATAAAATTTCTATAGAAGTTATTTTGGTTGTGGATATAGGACTCACATATCCTATCATCTTTAAAGGAGTTATGATATTGAATGTTCGAGCTAATATCTAGACAATTTAAATGCTTCATACAAGTTGAAGATTGTGATATTATAAGAAAGGAAAGAAGAACATTTATATAATGGGAACGTGAAGAAGTGGCACTGGTGTTGTTCAATCATGTCGGATTTTGGCCAATGCCAGTTTGGGTAATGTTGGTGATTAGAACAAATCCGTTATATCATCGAACATGTGACTATAAGGTACGTTTATTACTAGATGTATTCGTGTGTACATGTGTGTGTGTTCAATTAGCTACATGTGTATAGTTAAATTAAACTTCTGCGTTAGTAAACACAAGAGTACGATTTTACTTGTGCTGGAAAGTGTGGCATTATATTTATTGACAAAATTGACGAAATTCATAGATTTGCTAATTGTTTTATTAGAAACTTTGAGTATTTAAATGAATTTAACAGTTCGCTTTTTTATTTTGGCAAAGATGGATTTTAAACAGTTCACAATAACAAACAAAATAACCGTGACTGGGCGAGGCTAAAGAACGGACTCACCACCATTTCTATTTGTAGTGTAAGGTGATACTAAAATATCATTCAGAGCATATGACATAAATATTGTGTGTTTAAAATATGAAATTAACTATATTACATAACAAAAAAAAAAAAAAAAAAAAAAAAACAGTGAACAAATTGCCATCCTCATACGAAACCAAGACGGAACCAAGTCGAACCCACTAACTCCCAAAAGATGATCAATAATAGTTGTACACTTCGTGTCTTTGTGTTTGTGAGACCAAAATTATCTTTAGATAACATCATATAAAGCCACATGTCCCTTATAAGTGGTATTGTTCCCAAATAGTTTGTCCAATCTTTATACATTATTAAGATAGTTAGTCTCAATCACAGGTCTAATCTATTCAAATTATTAATATTAACTTATTAAGAGAAGTCGATTAGAAGTACAAACTACGTAGATCCGTTGTTGAAATGCCAAACATATATGGATTAAAACAGTTAAGCTAAACTGGAAAAAACAAAATATTGATCAGTCTAGACTCTAGAACAACAAGAATATATAACAAGCCGGATCATAATAAATTTGTGTAATTTATAGTTTATTTAATACTAGATTAGGCCCCGCGTATACGCGGGTTTATTTATTTTTATTTTTTTAAATCACGGAAGAATATTAAACAAAATTTGATCAATTTTAAAAATAAGAAAATAATATTAAAAACCCGATAACAAATCTCTAAATAAAGAT